TGGCCCCTCTGGAAGCCCATTTGGCAGCCTGGAGGCTCCTGGAGAAGGAAAGCACTTGCTAGCCCAGCCCTCGGGGCCTCCTGCAGCCTCCAGGCCACCTCTGTTTTCTCTGTTCCTCCTGCAATCTGAGGGGTCTGGTCCCCAGGAGCCTGGTCCTTCCTTCCGACCTTGAGGTGGGAGATGAAAAACCCACACCACGGATGCAACACGGTTCGTGCCTCGGTAGAGCCATAAGACAGGCAGGCTCTGCTGTCACACAGGCCTGGGTGCCAATGTCTTCCTTCTGGAAGCTGTGTGACCTCGGGCAGTTGGTTTGCCTTCTCTGATCCCCACTTTGTTCATCGATAAAGTTGTAGAAAATTGCATGAAAGACCCCAGCGTTACCCACTATGCAGCATTCAAGTGCTCTTCAAAATCATGGCACTGGGTTCTTCAAGCAAAGGTAACATTCTAGGGAGCAGCCTCTGGGTGAGGAGAGCTCGGGGTGTAGAATTAATTCATCTAAGATTTTAAACAAAAATGGTCACCATGAGAGAAAGACATCGGATGCTATCTTTCAGGAAAATCCACTCGTGTGGAACATCCCATGTGTCGCACCACAGGGCAGACCACACTGGACAATAGCAACCAACACTTATTGAGCACCTACTATGTACCAGGCCCTGCGCTTAGTAAGCACTTTCTGAACACACTTTCCTCATTTAATCCTCTCCCAAACCCAATCTGGCACATGAGGACACTGTGTCTTCCAAGGGGTTTGTGACCTGTTACGGAGGTGTGTGGGCCACACTGGAACCCAAGCACAGCCCAGAGCCGACTCTTACCTTTCACGTGTGAGGAACTTAACGCAGCGCTCTGCTGGCGCCCGTCCATCGATCAGCTTCAGAAGCAGCCCCCGCTTGGGTTTGAAGTTCCCCGCTGAGGCATCAGCAGTGAGCCATGAGTTCAGGGTCCTCCTGGGGTTCAGCGTGCAGATGTAGGGAAACACGGCAGGCCGGGGTGACCAGCCAAAGATCAGAATGTTCTGTAAACTCAGCTTCAGGTAGTGGCAGGCCCAGGTGAGGCCTATGAGGAGAGCACATCTTTCAACAATCTCCCGGGGGGGAGGGGGGTGCTAGGGGTAGCAGGGGGTGGGGGGTATACAAATGCCACTAACAGTAACGGGGGTCCAACTGTCCTCTTAAAATGAGGCTGGGCTGCCCACTTCACGGAACTCCTCCTCTCTGCAGACACATCGCCCTCGCTCACTCAAGGTAATCCTTTGCACCTGGCACACAGGTAGGGGCCCTATTTTGCTAGAGTTTTTTCCACGTGAACCAGAACATTCGGCCATCCTTAAGAACCTCCAGAGCCTTTGAGCCTTTCTGTGGCCTTTTCTAATTCCACCAGCCCCGTGGGTCCTGCTGCTTCCAGCTGCTTCCTCTCCCTTGGGTAGAAGGAGGTCCTCCCCACTCCTTGCTGACTCCTCTCCCCTCCCGGGGTGGGGGGCCCACAGCTTCTCCCTCCTCACCACCCACCACCCCATGCTGCCGGTGCTGCGGGCGGGCCCTCCTCTCCCACCGCAATACAGGCCTTAGGGTGAGCACCTCTCTAAGATACACATTCTATAAAAACCAACAGTGAAAGTTACTGGAATATTGGTTCAAACTTCTTGGAGTGAGGATCTGGGCTCTGCCTCCTGGTGGTGGTGGGGAGGGGGGTATGAGAGGAACACAGGTCAGGGCTTTACTACCAGAGTGTTTCAGGGCAGCTCGATTTGCATTAGAATGGTCTAGAGTCTTCAGGGAGTTCAGAACCCCAGAGCTCTGGCTCAGACACCCCAGGATTTCTTTCTTTTTTTTACATTTGTTTTTATTGAAGTTCGATTTGCCAACATCTAGTATAACACCCAGTGCTCATCCCATCACATGCCCCCCCTCAGAGCCCGTCATGCAGTCACCCCATCCCCCCCCCCCACCTCCCCTTCCGCAACCCTTTGTTCGTTTCCCAGAGTCTGGAGTCTCTCGTGGTTTGTCTCCCTCTCTGATTTTTCCCAATCAGTTCCCCTCCTTTCCTTATAATCCCTTTCACTGTTTCTCATATTCCCCATGTGAGTGAGGCCATATGATGATAGTCCTTCTCCGATTTCACTCAGCATCATACCCTCCAGTTCCACCCCAGGATTTCTGCAGCAGCTACAGCTGTCTTGGCCCTGGGCAATTTACCTTCCTGATTCCCAACCACCCTACAAGGTCCTATAAGGTTGCCCTCGTTCCCACTTTGCAGATGCAGATGGCGAGACTCACGGGAATGAAGCCCTTTGCTCAAGGGCTGCCTGGCCCCACTCTGAGTGCTTCCTACTCCCCCTGAAGCACCCCGAGGAGCGAGCATCTGTTGACCAGGCACGAGGATGTGGGCAAACGCAGGTGTCCAGCATCACAGTGTGCAAGGCGCCCAAGGGCATCCACGTCTGTGGTCTGTTGCCCTCTGGGGAACTTTCTAGGGCAGATCAAGCTAAGATGCTGTACCAGAGTCACAGGGCCACCCCTCCCCAGGGGGTCCCCCACCACACCCCGCTCATGGTAAGAAGGCGTCACTCGCGGTGTCCCTGGGAGAATTATTATTGCTGATAATCTGCAGAAATCCACTTCCAGTCATGACCATATTGCAGCCAGAGTAGGGACCAAAAGGTGTCGCTGAGAGTGAAAATGGTCGGTTTCTTCGGTGCAGGACTTTAAGATGCTATGGACATCTTGGATCTCTAAGGGGGAGTTCAGAACATGTTAACCACCTGTATTGTACTATTTTATACCTCAGGGTATTGTACGGGACTGTACCATATTATATCCCACTGTCCCGTATCATGCTGTAGACTTGGCCATATGACATTATCCTGTATCACGCCATATCAAGCATGTGCCATATTACACCATCTAGATCGTATGTGCATCACATCGTATTGTATCTTCATGAAACCGGACCAGTTCTGTGAAAGTCCCTTTGGGAAATACCAGTCCTCCCTCTTTCTTCCATCACAAAAGAATTTCCCCTGGAATCCTGGGGCAGCTTGGCCACCGTGCCACCTGCCTTACCAGCGCCGCCTTAGTAACTAACCCCTCCCATCCAGAAGAGTTGGGGGCAGAAAGCAGTGCCTCCATCCACCCACTTCATTAGCACATTATAGTGTTACTTTGCCCTCACGTTACTAGAGCACGAAATTAAAATACATAGATCTACAAAAGCACCTGCCTTCTGTGACCTGACACAGGTAATTACGGCTCCTGGGAATCCTGCCCTAGCTTCCTGTTACCACGGCCTTTGTAACTCTATAATCTAACGAAAGCTTTTACGTGGCACGTGGTAGGGCTTCCCATTCAATTATCAGTATTAATGAACACTCCGTTCTGTGTTACTTTTCCAAATCCTCCCATTCATCTGTAAACGTATTTATAGAAAATTTACATTTCATGCATTTAAGTCCTCAGTAATGAAGTGTAACTCTTTCACCCTGCTTGCCCAGCAGAGCTCTGGTAAGTACAGAATCAAAGAAGTACATGAACTTCATGGGGATCCCCGGATGGCCCAGCGGTTGATCGCCTGCCTTCAGCCCAGGGTGTGATCCTGGAGCCCCGGGATCGAGTCCCGCATCGGGCTCCCTGCATGGAGCCTGCTTCTCCCTTTGCCTGTGTCTCTGCCTCTCTCTGTGTGTCTCTCATGAACAAACATTTTCTTAAAAAGTACATGCACTTCATCGGGTGTTTGTTTTTTAAACAGCAGCATTTTTATGTCTGCATTTTTATGTCTATTTTTGAAAATTACCAACTTTTAATTGAATCAGAATATTAAACTTTCCGATTTTATAAGAACGTAAGGTCTTTAAATTGTGTCTAATAAGTGGCTACGATTTAGCTTTGTAAATACATCACATCTGTTTTCGAAGTTGCTTAGCAGTGTAACTGCTAGAATTTTTAGAAATCAGGAGTCTGACTCTGGATGAAAGGCACCACAAGCCTTCTCTTCCCCCACCCCACGGCGGGAGGGTCGCCCCCATGGCTGGATCGACGTTGACCCCGGTTTGGAAGGACTGCAGCTGGACAGGGCAGTACAGGGGCTTGTTCATCAAAGGCCTCCCCAAGGTGGTGTGTGCCCTGCAGGGCTGAGCTCACAGTGTAGACAGCTGATCAAAAATATCCTGGTGGTTCTAACTGGCATGCCCAGCCCGGAGCTGCTCAGGTGACAATTTGTACAGCCATTTGACTCCAGAGGCAGTCTGTTACAGCAACAGCTACAAGGTGACAGTCTTAAGTCATCAAAGACACAGCCCTTCGCTGCAGGCCCAGGGACCTAGAGAACCGCATGGTGGGACGCTCACTGCCTTGAAAAGAACAAACTGGCCAAGGAGCAGTGTGCTCTGCCCTCCGACCAGCAAGGGGTTCTGGATGGGCTGAGCTAAAACAGGGCATTCCGGATTCCGTCCCTGTGCTTTGTACAGGAGCCCTGCCATGCTGAAATGCCACCTGCCAGACAGGAATGGGAAGGCGTCACTATTTGAAGAAGACTTCCTGCAAAACTCAGGTCCCAGAGGGGAAAACCCCTCCAGAGGAGCTGCTTCTTCCTGCCAGAGGTCCCCCAGACATTCCCTGGAGAGATACGGTGCTCCCCCACCACCCCCCCCAACCCTTAGACAACTGCAAGGACTGCTCTCCATTCCTGGCCCTTGGGCCTCTCTGTTTCCCTGGATTTGGTGAAAGCCTAAGTCATCCATCTCACTTCCTTCTAAATTCAGTGATCCCCAAATCCTGGAAATACTAAGGCAGTAGCCTCAAACTTCAGCTCCATTTCAGGGGCATACGCCATGGAGGGCTGACCCTGCAGAAGGCCTCCAAAGCTCACCATTCTGGGTGGTCTATGGCCAGAGCTGGCTTGGGACCCAGCTCCCCACCCCGGCCTCGGCTGTGAAACACACCGCACCCCTGAATGACTCTTGCTGCCCCGCACAGCCAACACCGTGTCTTCCAGGTGGGAGGTTTTATTGTGTTTTACAACCATGACAACACAGGACGGTGGCTGTGACAGCAAACATTTCAGATAAAGGAATGGACCAAGTTACACCCGCCCCGTCCTTGCGGCCTCCTTCCATATGTCTCTCTGAGACAGTTTCTGTGTCCTTCCTTTGCAAATTCGAGAAAGTTGAAAAGACACACTTAAAGTAGCAGGAACACCATCAGCGAAATGAAGCAGAAGGGTAACTCTGAGAAACAACTGATGAGACACACATGACAGAAAGCCTCTTCTACTGTGTTATGATGCCAGAGGGGTGGAAGAGCAGGCCCTGGGCTCAGCGTCCATCGTCCTGAGACCCTCGTCATACGGGGCCTTCGGTGATGCCTTCCAGAGGCATGCTGGGTGCACTGTCAGCTGTGGGCCGCTCGTCTTTCTTCAGCGACGTCGGGACCCGGAGGCTGACGTAGGGTTTGTGACAAGCTGTATTGGCCAGAGGGGGGTAGTGCTGTCTGTAGCAAATGTATGCAAAAATGAGGCCAATGACTCCACCAACAAAAGAATCTAGGCAGAAAGAGCACAAAAGGGAGAAATGTGTTATGATTCACTCAAATGCGGCCAGTTACGTTTTCTAGAAAGTACTCTCCTCACCTGCTGCGGTGAGTGGGTTGCTTGCTTGATCTCCTGAGAGACTAAAGGAAAGAGAAATCATGCTGGAGGAATAGATCCTGGTGGCCTTTGCAGAACTTTTCGTTTCTAGGACTTAAAGATGCCCTGAAAATGTTTATTTGATTCCCTCTTATGTCCTTAATATGCCCCTGAGCATTGCATGAACTCAGATTTGCATTCTTGGATATGAAAATCAATTCTAGAATCCGGAAGGAGTCCAACTATCTCCATAGGATCTAGATCCCTTGGATGGGAGGGGGGCTGTGATCTCTTACTCTTTAGCAAGTTCCCCCTGGACTCCTGCAGTATTGCTGGTGAGCTACAGAAACCCATCAAACATGCGGTCTCTGCCTCGCGGTTAAATGATTTCCCAGGGAAGAAATAAACTTCTGAGTCACAAAGTAAAGAAAACATTTTATGATACACCAGGATTGGCAACTCAAGAGATCCGTGCTGTGAGAATCCTGATCCTTCCAACATCTCATCAAGTTGAGGGGCCAAGGGGGGTAGAGGAGGCAGGAGAGGGCATTTGGAGGCAGAACAGACCCTCCACTGGGTGGGAGGGGTCTTGCCCAAGAAGACATTCAGCTGGTTCCCAGTAGAGACCTCATGAAAGCAGCCTACCCCTACAGCCCTCATTTTGTGTGTGCGTACTTTGGCACTTTAAACCGTCTATGGATTATTCTTGCCCAAAAGATCCTAACAGAATGGAAAACCTCCCCTAACAAAAGAAATTTTGGACTCTTTTGAAGGTTGCTGCCATGTGAACTGTCATTCTCCATTCGGGGCTTCCTCTTCCACATTTGCTATCTTGTAGGCCTCCTCTTAGAGGCAAACAGCAACCTGAATTCCTGAGTGGGGTCACAAGGTATAATTTTTTTCTTTTATTTAAATTCAATTAATTAACACAGATCTTATTATTACTTTCAGAGGAGGGGTTTTGTGATTCATCAGTTGTATATGACACCCAGCGCTCATTCCATCAAGTGCCCTCCCTCATGCCCATCACCTGGTTACCCCATCCCCCACCTCCCTCCCCTCTAGTGACCCTCAGTTTGTTTCCTAGAGTTAAGAGTCTCCCATGGTTTGTCTCCCTCTGTGATTTCATAGGATTTCACTCATAGCTGGAAGTTAAGAAACAAACCAGAGGATCATAGGGGAAGGGAGGGAAAGATAAAATAAGGCATAATTAACAGGATTAAATCCAGTTCCTCAAAAAGAGAAACCCCTTACGTTGCCTATGGCCAGCGGCCTATAAAAAAGTGCCAGGACTCAAGGGTTCAAGGTCATAGAATTGCACTGTTGTTCTTTCTCTAACCCCAGGGCACAGCTCACTGGGGCATTATTTTTATTAGAGTCTGAAATGATCCATGACATCTGCATTTGAGCCATTGACTACTGAACAGGGCAAAGAGCAAAACCTACAAATAATGTCATTTGGCATTCAATTTTCTGGGGTACGGCATCTCATTAGGTGCACCACTGACCACAGGACACCGAATCGTTCTGAGCAAATGTTCTCCGGGCTCACTGATGGAGCGGCGTGCGAGGGAGTGGTGCGCCCTGCCCATGCTGTTTTCCCATTTAATGGAGAGAGGGGAAAGTGGTATCGCAGGTCCGCCAGAGTCATCAGAAATATCAAGGGCACCAAAAGGACCAGGCAAGCCGCCTTCTCAGCAAAGTCATGTGGGGCTGTGTTTATTACAAAGGTGGAGAACAAGAATCAAAAAACACCTTACTTTATGAGGGAGACTGTCATCAAGGGCCTCAAGTGGGCTATTGTTATTTTGATGAAATCACACTCACATCCTGCACAAGTGCTGACAGAAAAGCAGGCAGCAGACAAGCAGGGTTTTATTAAGAGAAAAACCACGGGGGATTGACTTTACCCTAACTATGGGGGCCTGGGATCAAGGGTTCAGAAGGGGAATGCATGGATCTTGGTGTCCCCACAGCACAAAATACCAGTGTCCCGACTCAGCATCAATGCCATCCCACTGCACACCTGTATGTGCTCCACATGGATGTGGGTGTCAGGCGTGATGTCTGGCCCTGGGGCATGAGGCTGAACAAAAGAGACAAGCTCACAGTCCTAAGGGGCCAGAGGGACATGAAACAGTGACAGCTTTATCACTGAGCTGCAGCTGTGATACACACCACGAAGAAGTATGGGACTGTGAGACCGCCCTGCAGAGTAGCCTGGGCTGGGCTGGTCTGTCCAGGCGACTTTCACGGAGGACATACCCCACAGGCCAGCCATGCAGGATAAGCAGGTGTGAACCAGGGCAAGTAAGGGGAGACAGGGTATGCCTGCAATCTTCCAGGTGGAGCAAAAAAGGAAGGGGTTTGGCAAATTTGGGGAAATGGAAGGAAGGACCATCTTTTACCAGAGGGGTAGTGTCCTTATAATTCTGCAGGACATTAATTGACCATAAGGTCTTCCATGTACTCTCAAGCTCTGTGGAACCCTCAGCATGGACCAGGGTCCCCACTGGCTCTCTGGGAGACTGTCTGCGCACACCATCTTAACCCAAACCCACCACTCAGTGCTGACTTCCCCTTGATGGCCTTCCTCATCTTCGTTTCCCAGAGCCCCGCAGTTATTACTCGGTAAATGTTTGATGACCTGAAACGTGAACAGCAGTGACAAGACACACTAAAGAATCGGCATCGCCAGCCACCAAGTGCCACACATTGTGCGATCCTGTATATGTGCAATGCCCAGAATAAGGAAATCCGTGGAGAAAGAAAGATTAGCAGTTACCCGAGACTGGGATTGGGGGTTTTTGGTGAGGTGAAGAAAAGTTCCTGGAATTAGAGAGTGGTGATGGTTGCACAACTCTTGACTATACTAAAAACCACTGGATTATATGCTTTTAAAGGGACGAATTCTAAGTTACAAAACTCTAGAAAGCAGGGCGAGAGAAATACTACTAGATGGGTTCCCATAGAGGTAGAAAGAGGGATAGACTTTGAATCAGGCAATCTAGATTTGAATCTTATTTATAAAATGGGCATGGTCCCCACTCTCTTCTCATGAGGTCAAAGGACAAGAGAGGCTTTCTCCCAGTCTAGCATTCAGAAGTGCCAGTACATACTGGCCATGCTCACCTGCTCTGGCACAGACAGTCAGAAAGGCTTCTGAAGATGTGCTGACAAGTCCCCCAGGGGAACACATCTCTCTCTGTCACCATGGCAACATCCAATATCACTGAGACAGCTTGACTTGGGAACTTGTATGCCTTGGGCTCTATGACCCAGGATACTAGGGTAAAAATCCTCTCTGACAAACTCAACAACCACCCCCTCCCCATGACGGTTTCTGTTCCTTTCATTCTACTACTAGTGAAGCTTTCTGGTTTTGTGACTTTGAGTTTCTATAAAAGAACTTTCATGGCACAGAGGATGCACAATCTGTTTGGTATACTGGAAGCTGGAAGGGCAGCCGCCATGCCCGTCTTCCTCACCACTATGTATCCAAAGGAGACTATGCTTGGGACACGGGCACAAGAGACATAGTGAGCGAATGGAAAGTTTAAAGTCTAAGTTTTCTGTTCATTTTTATTTTTTTAAAGATTTATTTATTTATTTATGATAGACAGAGAGAGAGAGAGAGAGAGAGAGAGAGAGAGAGAGAGAGAGGCAGAGACACAGGAGGAGGGAGAAGCAGGCTCCATGCCGGGAGCCCGACATGGGACTCGATCTCAGGACTCCAGGATGGCGCCCTGGGCCAAAGGTGCTAAACCGCTGAGCCACCCAGGGATCCCCTTTCTGTTCATTTTTAAAGGGAAAGAACTTGCAGAGGAAAGGTTAATTTTAATAAGCCCCCTCCCCCAAATTTTAATAAAACCAGTGTGAAGGAAAAGATGTAACATCATCTTTTAGTATCAAAGGAACATGATTTAGTTAAATTCATTCATTCGTTCAACACATTGCTTGGGCACTGTTATGAGTTGAATTTTGTCCCCTGCCCCACAAAAAAGATAAGTTGAAGTCCTAACCCCAGTACTTCAGAGGCCCACCTGCAGAGGGTGTCAGATTCTGGAAATATTTTGAACAAAGAGCCCACAAGAGAAACGCAAGAAAATGAGGGAAGGAACAGAGTAGAGTGAAGCAAGGTGGTCAGTGAGCCCTGTGAGCAGCCAACATCCATCTGCCCTGGGAAGTGGGCAACAGGGGAAGGCCAGCTAACCTGGGGGCAGAGAGGGCAGAGGGCCTGACCCACGCTCCCTTTGGCCTGGCCCAAAGCGCTATCCAGTGGCTCTGATGGGAGGGATGGTGACCGGGGGCTGCAGATGGCTCCAGCCCCTCCTGCGGGGACACCTTGGGAAGGAAAGTAGAGGTGCGCAGACTCCTAAGACGTCAAGGCTGAGAGGCTCCCAGACCCCGAGCATCGTTCAGCCTCTGATGCTGAATGAATACAGACCCTGCTATGGAGGGCAGCTGACAGAGGAGGAGAAAAGGAGTTGAGATCAGTTCACTCCAGACCGAGAATATCCATGTTTCTGTTCTACACAAGGCTGGTGGGGTTCTGGTAGGAGCAGTAACACAGTTCCAAGGGCTCCTTTTCAAGTCACTTTGTTCAGAGAATCTAGAAACTTCTTCTGAAAGCCCAAGGAAACACCTGGTTACCAGTGTGTTCCTCAACTGTGTGTGTGGGGGGGAGGCAGGGGCAGCAGCCTCTTCCTGGCTTTTTAATGTGGCACACGAACCACCCAGCAAAATGTTCCCCGACCCCCAATCACCTCATCTGCAGGGCTGAAAATCTCCTGAAGTCCAGTAACTACATGAAAATTCATTTCAAGTCACAGACCCTTCACAGCCCAGTGAGGGAAACATGGCGAAGGCAGCGGCAGCCACCTTGAACAACTCAGCCCAGTCAAGTATGGCGTCTGGGACTGCCATGGGTGCCTTCTAACCTCAGGCTGGGTGGGAATGAAGGACTGTCTCCTCCCTTGAGACCCATTTTTCTGTCTTACATTCAGAGGGAGACGCTCTTTCTTAGAGTGAAACACCACACAAGCACCCAGGGCTGCTTAAAATGACATTATGATTACAGAACCCAGTGCCGGTTGAAAGATTACCCCCCAAAGGTGGAGTCACATGAGGAAAGCCTGGATCCAGATACAGGAATTTGAGAGGCAGAGGGGGCTTGCTATTAGGTCCACTCATACAGCAAATAGTACTTTCCTGCCCCTCCTGTAATTCTTCACTGACTAGAAATCATAAACGCACAAGCCTATGAGTGGAGATAGAAGCAAGTTCGGTAAGAAGCTCTGCTCTTTCTCCACATTTTTCTCCACATGTTTCTCCTAGCAGGGGAATGCCACAAGTTTTAACTCTTGAAAACACATGGCTAATCACAAAGGTAAACCTCTTTTTGGGGTGCTGGCCTTGGCAGTTAGCATCACCCACGAAACTTCGTTGCTTCCAGTTGACCTGAAAGCCGTCACATCACAAAGACATGGAGACTCTCAGCCACGTACAGACTCAGTACCCATCCAGCTGGTTTTATTTTGGCAGAAGTCCTGCTAAGTGTTTCGCATGGCCTGTGCCCTCCATTTTCTTCACTTAATAAAACGACGGGCTTGTATATTTGTAGCGGAGCTGGGAAGGCAAGAAAGTCAAGGAGGGTGTTGATAACAGAAAACCACCATGACAATGGAAAGAGTGAGGCATTTGGGATTATGGGCTATTTATTGGATAAGAATATATAATTGAGGGATTGGATGTACTTCTCTATTAGACACAGTTGTGTAAGTCAGAATTGAAATGGAGTCATAAAAATCTCATAATATTAATGTTGTTAACTAAAGCCTATAATGAGAGGGATTTGCGTTTTGCTGATGCCTCCGGGACTCCACATGGATTCTCATCATGATGGACGGTGCCTGCTCACGGTCACTGGGTAGCTCAGTCTGCAAAGAAAACCAACTTATCTATCTCCATCAGGCATCCTGCCTCGAACACCCGCCACACTGTCTATCCCTTCTCCAAGCTGGAAACCTTGGAGGACTCCCTGACTACTCCCTTAATGAGTGAGTGTTCAATGAGTAAAATTTCCCACTCCTGCTTCTTAACATGTAATAAGGGGGGGGGGTGCAGGGAGATGGCGCTGAGGTTAGCACCATCTATACCTTAGATCAGGGTTCTTCTACCTCAGCAGTAGCCATCTGGGGCTGGATAGGTCTTTGTTGTGGGCGAGGCGCTATCCTGTACATTGTAAGATGTTTACCAGCATCCCTGACCTCTACCCGCTAGGTGCCAGTAGCAACCATCACCCCCAGTTGTACAAACCAAAAAGATACCTACAGACATTGCCAAATGTCCCCTGGGAGGCAGTCGCCCCCTGTTGAGATGGCTGGTGGAGACAGTGACAGATGGCCTCATAAAAGGGAATTCAAGTACAATGAGCCAGACTCATTTCAGAGCCCATTAAAGAATCCAAGGCACACCCCTCTCCTGGCTGTTTCTGGAGGCATAAATTGAACAGATGATGGTACAGGTGAACTGGTACCTGGGCCACATCAATGACCTGTACCAATCCACGCACGTTCAGTTTTGCCTGTGGAAGTCTACCGCAGCTCACATATGGTCCTAAACATCGCTGAACGTAAATTCTCTTGCTCTGCCTTCCCATTAATATTCTCCCTCTAATCCTCCGGTTCCTTTCTGTGCCAGCTGGATAAGATGGGTCTGAAGCCCCGTCGCCAGCAGGCTTTCAACACACCAGCTGCATGATGAGTCCACCACTTCCAGAAAGCCTTGGACTGTGATTCTTCATCCTTTCACGACGTACCAGCCACAGCAAGGTAAGGAGTAAAAAACCAGCCAGGACCAAAGCAATTTAAAAGAGGCCAATCTCATGTCTTAGGGTTTCAGGACAAGATCACTACGCAAAGGCTCTTACTGCCTTCTGAGATGAAGCAACAGTCAATTCAAATATGAAACCCTTCGTCATTTGACAAATCCAACGTGACTGAATAAAAGTGCAAACTGGGGATTCACAGCTTAAAAACAGACCATGTTCCAAAAACATATCTGCCCCTAAATCAGTTTGGGAAACACAACCCATCCTTCTTCAGAAACAATGCACGATGCAACAACAATACCAATTTGCATTTGTGCAATAGGTTTTCATGTGCAAAGTACATCCAGATCCATTATTTCATTCAGTCTACAAAATAGCATGTGAAATATTTGGAGGTTATTGTTCTCAAGTTCAGAAGAAGACGCTACAGTTCACAAGGGGTCCATGAAAAGCAGTCCGTAAAACACCAGCCAGCCCATAATATTCTTCATGGGGAAATGCCCTCATCATCCAGGCAACAATGATTCTGTTGGAAAATATTCCCGGGTGCAGTGGGTATGCCCTTGTGCTGTTGGCTCAGCAACTCTCTCCTGCTTCCCTCCCGTGATGGAGCTTCGTGTTATCCAGAACTCCATCTGACTCATTGATATAAGCAGACCCCAAGGGAGGGCACAGGGCTCAGCATTATGGCTTCTAGTGACCGCCCCCATCAGCAGGGCCCCTAGATCTTGATCAGCACTTGGTGCATCCACCTGTCCAGACCATGCATCAGTCTCTCTTTCCCCTGCACCCTTTATTCTTGGCTCCAAGCTGCTGCTAGAAGCTTGTGAAGCCCACAGCATGAGCTCCAGGAGGGTGGCAGGTGGAGCTGAGGCCAGGGAAGGAGCAGAAGATGCTGGGGAAGTAGTGGGAGGAGCAGAAGGCCCCGGAAAAGATGGGAAGAAGATGTCCCCAGCTAGGAGCACCCCTTCACCTCTGGCCTTATCTGCTGCCTCACCTCCCCTGGTTTAAACACCTGGGAAGAGGTGAGAAGTGTGCAGGATCACAAGGCACCTGGCTGCAGAGACAGAAAAGGGGGAGAATGGGAATTGCCTGGTGGCAGCAAGAAAGTAGGCAAGGAAGAGGAGGGGCAAGCCATAGGGAGATCGGGGGAAGCCATTCGGATGGGGAGCTGGATCTGGCACATATAATTCAGTCTGTGACTGACGCTGACACACTGGAGCTCTTGCCCGAAGCTTCTCAGACTTCATTGGTAATAACCGACTTGCAGGTTAATGCAGACTCCTGGCCACCAATCCAGAACCACCCCCCACCCCCACCCCAGAGTTGGTTTCCTGTCTCGGGGTGTCCTGATCAAGGGGATCTGAGGATTGCCCTGTGGGGAATACGGCCCTTATACCCGGTGCTCCTGGGAGGCCCCAATGGGAGGCCCCATGTCCTATGGACATCACCTCTGCCTCTGCTCCCTGTTTGCTGTGGCAGGTGCCGCTTGACGTTCAGGCAGGCCGTGAGCTGCAGCTTATCTGCAGGAGGATGTGGCATGGTATAGTCTTATTCCAGTCCCTCATTTGTTTTGTGTTATTTTCACTTTGCTCGGATACTCCAGGATTCATACATATAGGTCAGCCTCACCACAGCCTTGGAGCAGCTGCTCAGAACATTGCTGGCATTGATGCCTGGGCCGGACACATCCTCTGGAAGTGCATCTGTGGCGAGAAGTATGTCCTTGTGCGATGGATGTGAGATGCGAAAGGAGCCAAAAACCACTTGGCACCAAGTCTGAAGACTGAGGCAAGTGATCTAGCAGGGAAATCACAGTTGCATCCGAGGCCAAGGGTCTGTCATCCTGCTGGGACTTGAGCACAGAGGAGGAGGAGGGGCTCCAATTCTACACCCAGGAAGGGCAGCATGAAGGTCAGAGCTCACAAGAACAGGCATGTTTTCTTTAAAACTGTATCTGCTGTTATTTCAGCCAACGCTGGCCTGACAGTAGGCACTCGGTTCTCCCTGAATAGGTACCTTTCTGGACCCATCCCTGCAGGAGAGTGTCAGACTCCCATGAGGACTGGGCAGGCCCTGGGCAGGGACTCACCTTGCCAGTGATGCTTGTAGTCACACATACGGGACAGGGCAATCATCATGGCACAGTAGAGGGGCAAGATGGCAGCACACAGCCGCCAGCTCTTCCCCCGCCCACTCTCGGTGAAGCAGTGCAGCTTGCCAGCCAAGTAGAACGTCGTGAAGCCAAGGCCAGAAAAGGCAACTGCCAAAGAGAAACAGCAGGTGTTACTCTAGCAGGTGGTAAGTGGCAGGGACACAGCACGTCCTGGGCATCCTGTCAGCCATCTTGCACACCCCAGGGCCAACGCATGTTGGCACCAGGCTCCATCTAGGCAATCTGTGCTCTTGCTAGAACCATGCCGGTATGAAACTTTTAACAATGAGAATGACCTTCCAGGCTTGTGTGTGATCAAAATCTATTCTAATTTCTTTCTTTCCTTTCTTTCTTCTTTCTTTCTTTCTTTCTTTCTTTCTTCTTTCTTTCTTTCTTTCTTCTTTCTTTCTTTCTTTCTTTCTTTCTTTCTGTCAGTCATGCATGCATTCATTCATTCAACAGTGATTTAAAGGGTATCTTCTGTGTGCTAGACAGGCACTGCTCTAGGTTGGAGAATAACAGAGTGCATCAGGTGCTGTCCCTGTGTCAAGGGGCTCAAGGTCAGGTTGAAAGACACAGCCATGTGAAGAGAGGATTTTATTATAATCTGTTGAGTTCTATATGAAAAAGTGTGTAGAGAACACAAGACTGTGGTGACTGCTTAGATTTGAAGAGTGAGGGAAAGGAAGGGATTCGGGGCTTGCTGGTATTCAGTAAGAGGGGTCCAGCACAACTATGGAGGAATGAGTTTGATGGAGAGATTGACAGTGATAACGGCCTTGTTTTCTCCTAAAAACTATGGATATTGATTCTTAGAATTGCAAAGACAAGCTATTTGTCTATAGCAATTGACTATGTGGTCCATGACTATTCTAGGTCCATTGTCAAAAGTGTGGAAGTTGGGTGTAGCATATGTAATCCCTAAAGTTTTCACCCAGTAAGGTTTAAAACACAGGTGGAACTCAGTGAGATTTAAAGTAGGCTTTAAATCTTTCGTGGGCTTAGAAAGGCCCTGCAACCCTGGCTATGCATGGAGTAGGAAGGTGAAAACCTGAAAAACCTAGGAAGCTCTATGAAATCCCGGCAGCCACTGCCAGACATTCTATTGATGCTGGTCTACTGGTCTGGAGCATGTGTGTGAGTGTGAGTGTATGAGAGTGTATGTATGTGGGAGTGGGAGTGTGTGTGCATAAATGTATATGAGTATGTGTATGTACGTACAAGTGTGTGTGCATATGTGAATGTGGGTACATGTGTGAGTGTAGGTGTACATGTATGAGTATGTGTGTGAGTGTGCATATGTATAAGTGTGTGTGCAAATGAGTATATATGTGTGTGTATGAATGTGTATGTGTGCAAGTATATGTGATTATAAGCATGTATGTGTGTGAGCATATGTGAGTAGTATGTGTGAGCATGTTATGTGTGCAAGTGTGTATATATGAGGGTATGTGCGAGCATGTGAGTGTGTGCATACGTCCATGTGAGCGTGTGAACGTGTGAGCGTGCACGCGCACATTACCTGAGTGATTCTAACGCCAATGGGGACTGACCTTTGGACACTTCCATTGAGCCGCAGCCCCTGCCTTTTCAGGACACCAGCCTAATCAAAGCTTCCCTCTTGGTGAGAACATACACCTGAGGGGCAGACTCCTTGGACTGCACACCAGGACTTGGTAAAACAGTTCTCGCAAACACTCTGGATGCCAGGGACTTTGAGAGACTGCCTGAGCCCAAGCAGCGGCCTCAGCATCCCCTTAGTCACAGATGCAGAATGTCAGGCTTGCCTGGACCTGCTGAGTTAGACTCTGCCTTTCGCAAGGTCCACGTGAGACCTGTGGGCACTCTCCAGTGTGAGAGGGCCTGCCCCAAAACACAATAATACAAAAACATGGAGGGCTCTAGAAGATATTCTGGTCGAATTATTTATAATTATACAATAATAGAAGGTGATGAATGCAGAGGCACAGATAAGCAAACTGCTTTTTCCATTCAGTGGACTAAGACGCACTGGCGAAAATCACTGTGCTCATACAGCGCTTCGGATGATACTCATGGTGCCACATTAAGTGAAAAGAGCCGTACCTTAAATTGTAGGTTCAAGATAATCATGTCTATAGCACATAAAAATGCATAACCTGTAGCTTTCCCAAATTATTGCTGCTAATGTGTCTTTTTTTTTTTTTAAGAGAGAGAGAGAGAGAGCTCAATTGGGGGTAGAGGCAGAGGGGGGAGAGAGAGAATCTTAAGCAGGCTCCATGCCCAGCTCGAAGCCCAATGCAGGGTTGGATCCCATGCCCCTGAGATCATGACCAGAGCCTAAATCAAGAGTCCGATGCTTAACCAACTAAGTCAGCCAGGCGCCCCAATAATGTGTCTTCTTAAAAGGGATCCCTGAGGTACAAACATAAGTTTATGCCAAATTAGAATGTTTTCAACAACCAAATTAAACAAGGTAAGAGGGGATGTTTTTTCCTTTTTGAACAGAATATTAAAACAGGTTTATCTCAGGGATGCCTGGGTGGCTCCCAGTTGTACGTCTGCCTTTGGCTCAGGATGTGATCCCGGGGTCCCAGGATCGAGTCCCACATTAGGCTCCCTGCATGGAGCCTGCTTCTCCCTCTGCCTATGTCTCTGCCTCTCTCTCTCTGTCTCTCTCTCTCTCTGTGTGTCTCTCATGAATAAATACATAAAATCTTAAAAAATAAATAAATAAAACAGGTTTATCTCAGGAATAAAAATGAAGCACTTAAACATTTTTTGAATAATGATTAGCACTTAAGTAAACAGCAAAGCAGTGCCAATATGTATTGACTATTCTGTTTAAAATAAGAATATGTAAGTAGCCTCATTGTCCAGGCCTGTTCTGCATTTTTGCTATGATGGAAGGTTTTTACGTGATTTATGGGCATTCCAAAGTGGCCCCATTTGGCCACCATCCTAGCAAGCACAATGGGTTCTTAATTTCCCGTCCTTACCCACGTTGCTCTGCTTCTCCTATTCATTTGCATCCTCCTCTGAGATAGCAGCATGGGAGGGGGAGGCTGGACAGTTGGCTCTGGTGGGTACCGGCCGCCTCCTGAATTCTTATGGAGGAGTAATGGAATTCATTCAAACCAGACAGCTTAGCAAGTCTATCCGGCTAATTATACTGAATGTGGGAGCATACAAGAACTGTCCTGGGGCTGTGTAGGGTTATGGATGAAAGTCTCCATGATTTCAATCAGAGAGGCAGCCCTAAGTGTTGCCAAGTTGACATCTCTTGGGAAAAGAAACAGAAAAAAAGAAGTCAATGAGTACAGGGTGGACAATGAGCAGGAATTTGCATGTGTCCCCCTAAATTGGTTTGGAGACTTTAGGACAATGCCACCTGAGCCTGGAGGCACAAGATGGGTAAGCAAAGAGGCTGCTGAAAACCCCCCATGATTGAGACCTGGGGTGGACAGCTAACAGCCAGACCCCACACTGCACCAGATCATCTCCTCGTGCCCCCTGGGAACTTGCATTTGGCCGGTTTTGGCAGCAGCAGGCTGGCACTTATATTTTGGAGACTGCAGATAAAAAGTACTCTCCCTCATGCTCTGGGACCCAAGCTGCAGCCCTCAAAAGTGTGGGAGCATCTGCTCCTTTGAAAAGGGAGCAGGGAATCTAAGGCGTTTTTAAAGGGTGGGGTCAACAGCCTAGATCCTGTGGGCATCCGAAGGCAGCTGCGCTTCTTCCTCACGTTCTATTGGGTCTTTGGGCAATTTTTAAAGCACACTGCGCATTTACTTTTCTAGGCTCCATGCTAAACCTTATGCTTGTCACTTTCTCAGTGACATTTATACAGCTGTTGAACCAGCAGAACGTCCTTTGGCAAAGGGCTTCTGAGGCTCCGCCTCGTGGCCTGGGAGGCACATCTGAGCCCTGGTGTGACTCCACGGGCATTTTGCATTCCTGCTTTTCCAAAGACTCTCTGAATAAGAACCAGGCTCTGCCAAATAGCACTGAATTCCTATGGTCCCACACTTTGTCCTGCCACCTCCTCCTGTGAGGCTGGGGGCCTGGGACCAGGATGCGACCTTCTGGGAGCCCCTCCGGCTCTCAGATCCAGGGGCTCGCCAAGGCTCAGGTTCTATTTAACTGGGAGAAAAAGAAAACAGGGAAGTTTTTAAAAAAGAAATGCTTTCCAAGGCTAGCCGAGCAACACCTGATTCTCTTCTTTAAGAAACGTGCACTTAGGACACTAAGGGGCTGTAAAACCTTTTTGGCTCATACAGAACAGGTGAGATCCTGTTCATTCTGCTTGCCTTTCCCCTTAAACACAGCCCCGACTTCCAGCATAATTAAGAAATGGAACTGAGAGCAGAGCATTCGAGGCACTGGACCTTCCAGAAGATGGAGATCATAAAGTAGGGGGAATGTGTTCCTATTTTGCTAATGTTACAAACAATAGACACGTGCTCAGAACACTCCCAAGCCAGTAGGCAAGAGAATACTGAGACTCTACCTACCTTTCCCTGGGGCTCAGAACTTATTTGCTCTCCAAAGTTTGAAACACACACACACACACACACACACACACAAGCTCTCACAGCGATCTATGGGGAAGAGCATATGCCCCTTGCTTTCAGAGCCTGTAGCAGGTTTTCAGAGCTAGAAACAGCTGATTGTAAATATTTATGTGTTGATCTGGCTGTGAAAAGCAAAGATGTTCTTGGAGCCTCTAAACTCAGAAGCAGATGAAGGAGAATGATTTCCCCACCCTGTTTCTGGCACTCGCAGTGCTCACTTCTGGCATTGTCACCAATGAGAGGAGAAAAGCAAAGCATCACAATGCAAGTTGCTGGCCCGGGACGGGATGTGAGGCACATCCCCTTGCACAGGGCTCTCTGCCTGCCTGGTGACTCAGCAAAGGAATCACTGCTTCTTCTCCCAGGCTACCCAGAGGAAATGCCACAGATTTACAGCTCTCTCTTTGCAAAGAAAGTTCTTCTATTTATTGAGCTAGCTTAGGTGAAACAACGTGGTTAGCCTCCCCACCACCCCCACATACACACCCAGTTGATTTTTAAACCAAATGGAAGACCTCTGGATCCCAATGATTGCAATAAATAAAACTGGCACAC